GAAGTGACGCCTTCCCAGAATCCTACCGCAAGAGGCGAAGTTGGCGTTGGCTTGGTTTGGCTGGCTGGCTGGCCGCGGGGTCGTCTTTGCCACCCGGGTGAGCGGGGGAGTTGCGCTCGTCCTTGCGCGCTGGGTTTGCGTTTTGGCTGGGCTTCGGTGCCGTGGACTTCTCCAGCAGGTAGCTTGCGCCGGGCTTCGGTTTTGCTCCTTTCTGCTCTTGCTCCCCTCCAAGCAGAGCAAGTTAGAGGAGAAAGTTTACGAGGAGAGAGAGGGGGTTGGTCTGCGTGGTCTATGCAAATATAGAACAGGGCAGAGCAGGCGCCGAGTGAGTGACAGCAGAACGGCTCGGGGTTGTTTTGCAAGAGCGAGCGGCCGCGGCGGCCGACTGAACCCGCGGAGTGGGGAGGGGGGGCAAAGTTACGAAAGCCCTTGACACGAGTTGGCGGTTGTTGTTGTTCCTTTTTTAAACTTGCCCACTTTTTTGGCTGCTCCTCTTTGGAGACTCCCAAGTGCTGCTTCTCCCTGGGAAAGAGGCCGCGCGATTAATTTTGCCTCGGATCCCACGCGCCGCGAATCAAACATTGGAGGAGCACGGGTGGTGATGGCTCGTTTTGCTCTTCCGCGTGGAAGGGGATTTTTGGGCCGAGCTTATTCCCGGAACAAAGCATTCCTGTGAGTGACCCCCTTGCTGTCGAGCGGGGCGGTTAGACAACGAAGCGGCCCTTCCAGATACGGGACGCGGCTGCAAGCGCGAACAGAAACAGCCCTTCCTGCCTGCAGCGCAGCACGAAGCTGTTTTTTTCTGTGGGCGAGAATCAGGCGTGATCTTTGGGATACGAGCAGCTTTCCCCGTGACTCGCCGCCTGGGTGAGGGCGGAGAGCGGGAAACCCTCTGGGACCCCGGCTTGCAACATATTCTGGGGGTAATGCGTTCTGTGTTTTCTTCCTTCTGGAGAGGAAGGGGTTCTTTGGCAGGGAGCTCTCCCAACACCCACTGACATGTGGCAGTGCCTTACATAATACTGGTAAGCCTTCTAGTAAGCTTGCTGAAGGCTTATTTTGGAGATATTGCAACCTTGCAGGGTGTACGAGCAGGGTTCTTGTATTGAACTGTTGCAATGAGTTCTAGCCTTCCTGTCCCCTTGTGAAATCTGTAACTGGCCTAAAGAAAACTTGCCGTTTGAAATGCAAACATATTGAAGTCTAGTTCCAAAGTCCACGAAACAAAATGTGACAAAGATGCAGGTCATCAAGGGCCCTTCCCTATTTGTACTTTATCATAGCATGAACGTTTTCAGGCAGCCTCTTTTCTTTGGGCAAGTAGGCATGACATTCTCTTAATCTTCATCACAACCCTTACCTAAAGGAGCTTAAAGTCATCCTTAGCTTTTCTAGTGTGAAAGTGGTGCTTTCACCTTTAAAGTGGCAACAGGTAGAGTGGGTTTCACCATGAGTATAATCTGACATGCTTCACTCACCATTTTGTCAGAGTCACAGATGACCTCTAAGGTCGCCACATAGTTAGGCATGGGTATGCCCCCTCCCCTGTGGTCTCTAGTCTCTTTTCCAGAGGAATTCTGGGTTGGGCAACAGGAGAGTCCTATTGTTTCAAACTGAGCTGTATCCATGAACCTGTTAGGCCTGGAGACCTAGATCAGCCTGAACAAGAGCTGACCTGGATGGTGAGAGGGCTGAATGGGAGAGAGAAAAAAAGATGACTCTTTCTGCTCCTTCATGGCACAACTCTCAGCTGTTTGAGTTGCTTTTGAACAGTGGTTTAGCACACTTTTGGAACAGCACTAAACCTGTGTCCAAAAGGAGCCCAACTATCAGCTCCAGCTCCACTGGACTAGCATTCTGTCAAAACCTGCCTCTTTCTCAAATTTAGTGCCTTCCCATGTTAAGGAGAGTGATTAGTGTATGTTTTTCCTACTGGCTGATGAAATTTTTTAAGAGGGAAGGGAAACAAAGCTGGGCAGCTATGTCCTTAATGTGCCCTGTGCACCGTCAATATGGACGGCAGCATTTGCTGGCATCATGTTTGTGGCAAGATAGGGACTGCTGGTGGCACCAGAGTATTTTAGCCCCATATAGTTTTCTGCCAGCTGAAGTGGATAGCACTTTAACTCATCCATGTGCAAAAGCCCTAGAACAAAACAAAATCATCTGGAAACAGGGTGTTTAGTCCATTTACACATATGACTTTACAACCAAAGCCTGTGAATATTGTGGAAGCCTAATTTAAAATTATTATTATTATTAGGGTTGCTGCCTAAATAGTACATCAGAGGATTTCTTGCAATAATTGAATTGCGCATTAATACTGTTAATGGGAGACAAATCACAGTAGAAAAATGGTTAATGCCAGTTTTGTATTTGCTTTATAATCAACTGATCAAAAACTTCCACATGTGAAAAATATTCTGTGTGTGAGTGTGTATGTGTGTAAATGTGCAAAGTATTTTATTGCAAATTTGACCCCGGCTTGGCATAAGCTGTTATCAGTGCAAATGTTGCAACTGGTTGGATTTGTGTAAAAAAATCATGAAGGTATTGAAAGATCCAAGTATAAATTATGTTATAATTTTCAGGGATGATTACATAGAGATATTATGAGCATTAAGAGAATTCTGTAAAAACTGTACTTAATTACAGCACGTGAAGTTTTAGCTTAACCCAGTCTTATGATTCTCTTTGGAGTCTTCCTAATAGTAGGTAGATAATGTGCATTTAAGGTTGTATTTGCAGTTACTAAAAAGGAATAGAGATGACAAAGGATGATATGAGGAACTTTTTGTGTCTATAAAAGCCCTTGTTTTCAGATAGTTGACATGAAAGCTTTTGAAGAAAATACATTGTTTATAGTAACTTCATGACTTTGATGTATAATACTGGTATTATATTGGCCACAAGCCCATTCTTTGGTATTAGATAAACTGATATTCCCTCAGCCTCAGCTTCCTATCTGTATAATAGGAATAATGGTGTAGTGATGTACTTATAAGATGGTTGTATAATTTACTAAGATCAGTATATGAATTCTTTGAGTATTTGAAATATACTGTGTGTATGATTTTTGGTTGTTGTTGCTGATAGTTCTTGGCTGCACACATGTTGTAAATTCGTGCAGCCACAGCTCTATTATGTGAAAGATATTACAAGAGTAAATTCCACTCTGTACATATTAGATGCTTTAATTAGCTCCATGTGGCAGCTGCCTCACTGTGCCAAGCTTTTAATATAGGGAACTGCTCAATATGCAGAGAAGCCTGCTTTTATCACACTACTACTGTACAAGAATATAGTAGACAATATTCTTGACTTCTGTGTTTAGCCCAGCATATTTCACTAGGCAGGACAAGGGTTGTATTTGTGCAATCTGCTAGCCCATGATTAAGTGAACAATATGCTAACCATACTGACTGGGTTCACATGACACACTGAGCCACCAATTATCCAGCCACATTTTAACATAGTAGTTCTGATAGCCAATTAACATTGGCCTGTGCAGTGGACCTATTAACTGGCTTGAAATCTTGTAGCCCAGCAATGCTGAAACTTTGCAATTCTGCAACCTCCTAAAATGATAAATGAATTTGTTGTGACCCAAATCAATAAAATTATTATTTTTTCATTGGGCGTAGGCTCAGACAAGAAAGAAGTATAGCACTTTTGAGAATTAAATATTAATCTGCATCACAAGGCTTCTCAGACTTTGCAGTGTCACAAGTATCCGCTGGGGCTTGTGCAGGCAAAGTAAGGAGCAAAGATGAACAGTTTAAATAGTGCTCCCATTCTGCCTGTGCAAGGCTGATCAAGTTTTTTTTCCCAAAAAGTGACATCCCCCAGTTGCTTATGACCACCCTGGGTGGTCTCCACCCACAGTTTGAGAACCAATGTCCTAGCCCAATCTTCTGCTTCTTTAACTGAAAGAAATAGGCAGCGCTTTTAGGGAGTAAGGGTTAAAAGCAGTCCCCATCATTCTCACCCAGCATGGCATATGCAGAATTCATTTTAACAGATTCCTTCTAGCCATCTTATGCAAGATTTTGAGTTTCCCTAAAAATGCCTTTTTAAAAATAAAATACGTTAATTCGTTACAGTCACTTTCCTTTGCTCAGTCTCTGTGTTGCAAAGTCTACCAGACTTCTAAAATATGAGGTTAATCTTTGCTGAGTAAAGTACCATAACTGTGGGAGAGCCCCTACCTGCCTTAAGGGTCAGATACAGCTACAGTTCTTGTATGGTTTGTAGATTTGTGGATTTATATGCTTTCTGCATATTTTCAATATTTTCTCTGATTTGCATGAAGACTAGATACTTTTTTTTTTTTAAGGAAGCTTTTGACTCGAAGAAGTTAGTAAACTGGATCAACAAATGTCTGACTGGATATTTATATGTTTACCTTAGACTTCCAGTTGAAAACATAAATGAAACTTAAGTGTCACTGAATTAAAGAAAAAAATGGAAGTAATGTAAAGATAACTTTATATCCACATATGTGATATCAGCCTTATGAATATGTGTTTCAATACAGTAATTATGTAGACAAGGTCAGACTGTAACAGACATGAACGAAAGGAGACTATGATAAAATGTCAGTTGACTTTAATTCTAGTAGTAATTTACTCAATACAGTATTGCATTTTTGCACAGAATAATAGTGCAAAAATCAGATTTCCCTTTTGGTACTTTTTTGTCTTCAGGTTCTGTCATATAAAAGAGCAAATGCATTGTGGCCAAATAGAATAATATCTGTTGGAATGCATTTTAGAGTTTA